AATTAGCCTTAGGGAAATTTTCAAATGTGCATAATAGAATGAAGCTTTCCATCCACTGTGCCGCTATTATTTCAAAACATTGGTTTGATGTGGGCGATATAGATCGAGTTGTTAGTATTTGTACCTGCGTTTCGCTCACAGGTTTTGCGTTGTTGCAACATCTAACAAAAACTGTTCTCTTTACCTTGGTGTTTTTATTTTCCAATAAGATAGAAATATGAATGCACATCGCAAACATGGCCTTTGCAGCAGTTACCGAGTTCCGGTAAGACAGTCGCTAGTTGCTCATGCACGACGATACTTTCCAGACGAATGCATCGACTGAGACGGATTGGTGAACCAGTTTCCGATAGGGAATTATCACCACGATGTTCCTCAAACCGTGATATCGAATATAAACTAACCATCAAGCTAACCCAAGAGGCTGCGACTACTACTTACATGTTCGAAAAGGTCAATTTGTTTCTCTTGGTACCAGATGGGAGGTTGCAATTCGTGTTATTGACAACTCTTCTCGGGGTTCTTGGCATCAGAAATGCTCCCGGATGGACGGCGTACAGGCAGCTTTATGAATTTTCAAGAATGAGATTAGTTTGGCGAGAGCAATTACTCTGACGCAGAAGTTGATATGAAGGACGCAGGGCACAGGTCACAAGAGCCTGCATCAACATGACCCGCCTGCCAGCGTTGAAGAATGCTTGCGCGATCCAATTGTCATCCGAGAAAAAAAAATGTCGTACCCATGCTCGAACACCGTGGATTTGCACGAAATCAAAACACAGCAATGTCAAGCTCACCATCAAAGCCGATACTGCTTTCTAGGTCAAAATAATGCATCTGAGCAGATAATCGAAGACAAACAACCATAAGTACTTGAAGTTGCTGGTAGTTAAACTCGTAAGTCCGATAAAAAATACGAGGGTGACACTGGTGTAGTCATGTGGGTTTATTTGTATAGATCCACAAATCGTAGATTTGCATAAAACTTGTGGATGGAAATAGCGTAAGGGATAGTACGGTTCAGCGTATAGGACCGAAATTTCGAGAAGACGTTGGACGGGCATCGACAATTTCCATCTCGACACACGAGTAGACATCGAAATGAAAGCTTGGATCCGTCTTCTCGAAGCACAAAATTCTCCGCAACCGAACCACAGGAACACGCAAGTATTAGGGGGATCATCGATGGTGACACGAATTTGTGCAGGTGTGATGGGGAGCTTGTTCAGTGTTTTGGACCGAATAAGGAATCATCTAAGAAGGAGTAACGGCAGTAGTGCTAGACAATTCAGCACGTTTGCGTTGATGATTGATGACGGTAGTGGGGCGACAATCTATTTACATAAGATGTTGGCGAGTTCCTGTGTGATTAGGCCGGATTTAGACAACCAAAAGAAAGGGAAGGAGGAAGGAACACAACCCGAACCCATCCACTACGAGGGAAAGGATGCCCAATTTTGTTCACAGGGGTCGCGCACAACCGTCGATTCTTCAAAGATGCGAAGAGTGAGGACAGAGATGAGTAAGAAAGTGTGATATGGTGCTGCGCGACGAACGTCTGCAATTTATGTGTTGGTGGAAGATATAAGGCCAGGAGGAAAATCAAGAGGTAAGAGTTCCTAACTAACGAACTTGGAGAAGATCGCAAACATTACAGCAAACACCAGCAGCATGAGTGGAATTACGGTTAGGGAGGATGCCTAAAATGGAAGAAAATAACAAGCTGTGAATGAAGAAACTAGCTTTCCGATTAGTTCGTGAAAACCTGGAGCGAACATAATCTTCGGGTATGTGTATCTGTGTTAAAGGTTATGTGCCAGAAACAAGCGGTAAATGTTGCAAAAGTCCGATATAGTCTTTGATACCGTTATCTAAGGCGAACCGATGTAGCTGGCGAAAGGTAAAGATTAAAACGCAATAATGGTTAGGGTATGGATTCGTTAAATGGTGTTTACCGACTCAATGCGTCAACTAAAATGCAAAAACCACAATCGTAACTCATTGATTACTGACGCCATTATTTTGGTTAATTAAGGCACCTGGCATGCAAGTTTCAACAAGCCGCTGAGAAGCATCGATCTCATATGCAACAACAGAAATAATCTTGCATTTACGCAACCGGCGTTTGGGCAAAGAATCATGGTGCGGAAAGCATCGCTATCAACTTTGAGTTAACAATGCAACTCAATATTAAAAATACTTAAGTCATTGAATTTCACAAAGCAAACGCCAAATCGTTTGTCGGTATGCACGACAAGGAAAGACAGCTGGTAATTTATCAAACTGTTAGTTGAGACTAGAACGTGTACAAAGTTTAAGAAGTACAAGATTGCATACCGTTACCAGGCGTCCAGGAACCAGCTCGAGTCGATCGGTATGGACAGGCGTATCCGCTACGTAAGGAGTAGTGGGCGACAAATGGTTATTGGAAGCCGATGAAGTAGGGGCACGTGGGTGATGGTGATCACGAGCCTGCTGGTGCAGCTTGGTGATCTGCGCTTGCGACTCAACCAGCGCCGCCTCGAGCTCAGCCCGCTGGGAGCGCAGCTGTTCGACCTCGATACGATGTAGTCGCGCTTCCTCTACCAGTTTGCGGTGATTCTCGCGTGTCTGTTCCATTTGATCTTCTATGTCACCGAGACGTGCACGAAGGACGCAACACTCTGCGTGCATCTCCTCTAGATCATGTTCAGACGTAGCTTTCCTGGGGTCATCAGTTCCACTCACCGCTGTTAATGCCGTCTTATTCCATCCTGTAACAGTCAGTAATGAAATCCGGTATGAAACAAAGTTGCCTCACAGCAAGCCACACGTTCTATAATGCAATCAGATAGTTCCCATGTAAAAGTGTAAGTGTATCTTTTGGTAAAAATTCAACGAAAGCTTTATCAGTAAGAGTAAAATCCCACTGATAATAGGCCTAAGATAATCAGAAGAGGAGCAAAAGTATTCAATAGGCGTTGTTCGAAACTGGGGTTAAAGAAGTTTTGTAATAAAAATCGGGGACCGAAAACGTTAGAAAAATACAGCGAACTTCAAAAGAAAAGTGACAAACCGACCAGTTTTTTGCAATTCAGCAATGTGCGCCTTGTATTGTTCGATTTCTTCATTCGCCAAACGCACGCATTCTACAAAAGCAATAAAACGAAATAGTGACGAAAAATGAAGTTGCTTCGGCTTGAAAAAAGGTGTGAGCAAGCACGACCACACATCTGCTTACGAGGCAAGAAAAATGCAGTTGTAGTGCTCTAATTACCATACAAATATTCTTGACACAAAACAACCTTCTCGCTTCAAGCCCTTTGCCACATAAAAAGAGGGAACGCATGGCTCCCCATAATGCCAATCCTTTCGCTCGGTTCACAACAGCTCCATAACCAGCGGAACTTTTACAGCATCAGTGGAAGCAATATAACGGGGCGGATAGAACACTAAGCCGCGTGAAGTGTAAATCTACACAGTTAGAAAAACCGGTGCCAGATGAAAATAATGCGGTACGGTAAGATGGCACTGTGCATTAAAGACAGAATGATATTCCTGGAAAAGTTACTAACAGGAAATAAAAAGAAACTCATGAGTATGTTTTTGCTCACTGGACACCAAGAACTGATAGATTTTATTCCCCAACGTTAGCATGTTTTTGGCAAACTTTTGGTTGTTGCAGCGATTGCTCGTGCTCATGTACCACAGAATATGGAACTGAGATTTGGTAAATGTGAAAGGATTACAAAGAATAGCAGTGAAACACTAGTCTCAAAGATGCATCAAGTAGCTACAGAGGGACAGAAATTGCAATCACTCATCCGGAAAATTTGATTATGCTAAAGGAGATGCTGCTGACTTACTATGATTGTGCGATGCTACGCTCATATTCACACGCCTACAAGTGCACAAATGGCACGTCAACACGGGGTGCCACAAAGTAGCGATACGCTTCAAACGATTAACTTACGCCGCTTCGTCACTTTTAGACTAGTCCCATACTACACGAGATCATATGAGGGACAAGACCCAGAGAATCTCTTGGGATCCTTCGCCTACCACCTCAAAAGAATGGCTTACTGAAGCTGAAATAGCCAACTAAGGAAACAAAGCAATAGGCTATGCAGTGACTAAATTTGCAGATTGCCAAATAAACACTACGAACTCAAAAATTAGCCAGATCGCAACCCTACTCCTGCAATTTCTGTTCAAATTTGACTCACAATTGCTTTTCACTAAAACGCCCTATATACTATTTGGAAACCACAGTTGCAACCAGATTAGTCTGACGAAAATTCCGCTTCCATAGTTTCGACTGAGTCATACCATTACGTTACAAACGGGCGATAAATGAATTTCAACTCTTTAAGCGCAGCGGATAGGTTGTCACAAGTCATCACTTCTAGTTATAAATCAAGACTTCGGTTAGTTAGAAACTGTGAAAGCACATGAATTTCACTTAGTCATATGTAAATACTTCATGAAGTGCCCCAACCCACACAAAACCAAAATTTTATTGCCCTGCTTATCAAGCCGTAGTCATTTGTCGCATTTGGCTAAAAAACTAACCACGTAGATGTGCGACTTCCTCCGCATCAGGCGACAATGAAAAGGATAGAGACCCATTGCCACTAGAAACAGTTGGAGAAGCGCTGAGAGAATCGGCACCAACGACCGTGACACCCCCATCGCAGGCCGATGACGCCACCGCTTCGACAGCTTTGTCGACGAGATTGTGCAGCGTCAAGACATCGGGTCGCTTGAACGCCTTAGCCTCAATGTTGGCCAGGGGAGCGTCAGAGCCATCATCGACACCGGAATTGCTGAGATCCACTGTAGGGATGAAATGAGACCGATATGCTATTTATGCAAAACATCAAACGGTATAGGGCCAGCTAACAAGAGCCTAAGTGTTACAGTCAGTTGAAAAGAGGTTCGACTGAAGTCATTCAATAGTTCACCACCTGCTGTAATTCAAGAAACCAAATCGAATAAACACTTCATCTGCGACCAACATATTCCAAATTACTCCATCCTTCATTTTTGAATTTAAGACAATAAGAACGTGAAGTCCTTACATCCTTCGGATAAAATAGACATTGCTCTGTAAATCAAATAACAAAATCACTCGCCTTGGGGGAAGAGAGACAATGGCCTATATACAGCAAATTCTTTAATTGGAAAGACAAACCAGCGCACCAATTTCGGACGAAGATGCTAGATAGTAAACGCTCGGCAACAAATCTCCGCTTGTAGAATGTAATGCAATAAATTACCCACGTGTTTTCGTAGTGAAATGAGAAATGATGGCAATATTTCAGGACCCACCATGACGAAGGTGAATGAATTGACAAATGATAACTCAAACTATTGCAGTAAGGAGGGAAAAGGCGGAACTCAGGTGCATCTGTGTTTAAGAGATAGCACAGCGTTATTGTACGCACGTATACACTCAGGGGTGTGCACCCACGGCCACACGAGCGCACCAAACTGTGCGTCTGTGCGCGCCATTTTGTCGAACCAATCAATAGGTCGAGTTTCCATCACCGTGGTTGAATGGAGTTGCGACTATGGTGTACCATTGACACTATTCATGCTAAACCGCATGCGATACCAGCCTATAGAGTCCGAAGTGTAAGGGCTGAAACCGTGACATTTCAAACGCCAGACGAAACTCCTAGAGTTAATGTCAGCGAAATACAAGATACAAACTTTGAGACTGATGAAATAATTTGGTTACAGACGGTAACAGCCCACACCTGTATCTATCACTAACAATAGTAACCAACAGATGTACATTCAGGAATTGAGAACCACTTTCAAAAGCGAAGAGTTTGATGCAGTTCCATTTTTCAAGAGAACGGTTTTAACTACTAGAACTACCTTTATTCTCCCATTTCAGGTTTCCGAGGCAAATCGGACACCTCAGCACTCCACACTGGGACCAATTAGTACGTGATCGCGGGTTTTCTAAATCGAATTTATTCCCAAGATGCCAAGGTAAACGTGACATTCCCAGCCACTTCACGCAGCCAAATAATCATCTCCAGGTAAAAAATAGGATCTATTTTCTTGAGACTGAGTTCGGTGTAGTAGAATTACACAATGTTGAACTAAGGAAGGATGCAACACTCTCAACGTCCCTCTTCCAGCTGGATCTGTAGGTCACCAAGGAGATCTTAAGTACGGCAGAGTAAATATTCTATGAAAATGAATTAATAACCCACAGATCTTATTCAGTTCAGCGGCAGCGGAGGGGTTAACTCGTAGCAAGTAGGCGTGGAGATTAGTCATAGCGGCCTCGTTATGCCTTACGATGCGCTTGACCAAAGAGTCGATCGAAGATGAGAGGGCTGAACCATCGCTGATGGAGTCCACACCAGCTGCGTCGGTAATCGTCTCAAAGTTCCCTTCGCACCTCTTTTCATCCAAATCGGTTGTTACCGCAAGGGATGATACTTTAGCTAAGACAAGAAGTGAAATATTAAAAGTCGTCGCGCAAGCTTTTTGTACCTTTTGTACAAACAAGACGCCTCTGCTCAAAAGCAACGTTCCCATCCCGAATGAAACAAATTTTTAAAGCATGAAATTCAGACAATTTCATCACATAAGTCTCCGCTTTATTGGGAAAGTAGTTGGTGCGAAACAATATGACGGCACAACTAACACTTACAATAGGATCATTTGAAAATGCGTCTACTTCTAGGAACACGAGACAGATGCAAAATAGCATGGGGAGAGCGAGGTAAGAATGACCAGATGATAGACACCCCTCGATCGGGGCTTAAGGGCGTATACGCATACGAGAGCAACCAGTGACGGGTTGCGCTGACTAAGCATGCAGCTGAAAATGCTGGACGTTACACAGAAAAGTCGTCGAGATGTGCACATGAGGTCAACCTCACGAGATCATCGAACTCGGCAGCGATCAGAGTCAATTATCGCCAATGACAAAAATATCGAACACCTGTGGTTCCACCAAAACAAAAACTCCGGATACAGCCGAAATTCTTGCCAAACTTACAGCGGCTATAGGAAGACTTAATCGATTGAGTATGGTACTAAAATGGCGACCATTCCGACCATAAAGCGCTAAGCGATTAAGCCAAATGTATGAAGAATTTCTTAAAAAGTGTATGCATCAAAGGGTAAACATAAAGGGCAAAGTACAACGCAACAGCAGGGAAGCGTACCATCCAGAACACGTATTAGTTCTAGAGCTCGGTGAAAATCGCGAATGCTGTCAGAAATGTATTCGTTGGCTTCCAGCTTGCCTGATCCCATCATTATTTCGTCACCGCTGACTTGATCTATAACGAATAACAATGCCAGATTGAAGGGGCGGCTCCTTTGACCCAATCAGGTGGGCAGAGGCCACGCGTATTGTACGACATTGCACCTACCAACTGGCGGATTTCGCGAAATAGCATTATCAGTGGCCTTTGGTGAATCAACCACAGCCTTCACGTCCTTCAAATTCGGCGACGCACTTGAATCTAGGTGAGACATATGCCATACATCCCACTCCACCAATGAACCTTACAAATTTACTCATTTTTTACCTTTATCAGGATCATCCACATACGGTAGACCATTGACGAGTCCAGAGGAGCCTGTTCGAAAGAAAGGCAACGTGGCATTTCACGTACTCAAACGTATACTCGTGTAGCAGACAATTAACCCACTTTTCGATTGGACCTGCTCGTACAACTCTTTGGTCACAGCTAATTCATGAGAAACGCGCTCCAATTGCTCCTTCAAAGCGCTGTTTTCCCGAGAAGCGTGTTGAAGTTGCTCGTTCAACTGATTGCGCTCGGTAGTTAAATCCTAAAAACCCCAATGAGGAATTATCCGTTCCCAATCCCAACAAATTGAGAAGTTTCATCGTGCCCCAATTCGCCGAATAGTGAAACCGGCTATGCATAAACAAAGGAGCGGAAGCCACTGACAGATCACACATTCCACAGCCACTGTACTCCGCAGTATTTAAGAATATTACGGATGCTAATCACTAAGATAGCATCAGTAACCAAGATACATCAAATCATTCTCGTAATACGCAACACGATGCGCATTTGATGAAATACATATCAGGGCGTTTGAACAACTTACATTAAGACGCTGCGAAATCGTGGACAAATTTGCCTTATATTCATCAGAAATATTACTACAGGCATCCTGAGCAGAGGTATATTCATTGCGTAGATGTGTGCACTCGTGCTCTAGATCCTCGATTGTTCGCTACAATTCGACAGTTTCAGATTTTTCGAAGTTATATCGAGTTTTATGCAATATTTCGTCGAAAAACTTACCTCAAGATCTTTGATACGCTGCAGGGCAATCTCCTTATCCTTGATAAGCTTAGTCAGTTGAGTTTTGCTTTCCGACTCTTGAAAATTTTTCTCCTCCAGTAGATCACTCAACCTCATTTTGAGGGAGTTTTCAGAAAGCTCCTAAGCGAAGCTAACAGCAGATTCTTGGAACCAACCTCTTTAAACAATCGCATCTGACTTTCATAGAGATCGAACTTCTGTAACAGCTTCTCCTCATTGAGCATAGCCTGCCAGCCTAACTCTGAAGCTAGGGTAGCTTGATGTAAGGCCTGACGGAGCGTTTCTAGCTTTTTATCAAGAGCTTGTTCGCGGAATATCGCATCGTTGAGGAAGCAGGAGATCTGAAACATCTGTTCATTGTTTATTGATATGAGGCCACTAGGAAGAGCATCGCCAGTGTGACCAAGCTTCGGCTTTGCCTCTTGACCGTTCGGCAGGATTAGGGTGACGCTAGCGATAATGCAGCCATGCGTTGTATCATGTTCAACTACATCCACACCAAAGCGGATTACATCGCCAGAATATATCTGGCGATCGCAATAGTCGCTATCATCACGTTTGGAGACCCGAGTATTGTTTACAAAGGTGCCATTGCTACTATTTGTGTCCCGCAGCCAAAACTACAGGAATTACACAATGCAGAATCAAACCTCATCCGAGCTGAACCAAATAACAGCGTGATTTCGGGAAAGCACTTTACAATCAAAAATAGCATTGTTCGGTGACGCCTTTGAACGGGCAACAGCGCGGCCAACTTTGATGATATCATTGACCACGATAGTCCTCTCCTCAAAATAATGCGAGTCGTGTTGACAAGTAAGGATCATGATAGGTTGACCTTTCCGCTGCATTATTAGGGCGGCTGCATGTAAATCGTAAAGATGAGGAAGTCTGAAGGGGATAGGAAACGTCGGAAAGTGTGATGTCGATCACCCGCCAGCCTTACGATGGGTGATAGCGTTCTCGAATAAAAGACAATTTTATCTACCTAAAGAGCTAAATAACGCCAAAAGCCCAACTTCAGACTACCAACAAATGCAAAATACGAGGTCCCTTATGTATCGAAAAACAATTCAGTGGCGAAAAAACGAAGAATCTGGGGGGCCTTCCACCAAATAATGTGGCAAAAACTAGCTTAGGGGCAACACTAAATGAGAACGCTGATACAAGACTAAGCAGAAAGAGCCAGAAAAATTAAGCACAGTGAGCAAATGTAAACAGTTAAAAATTTGGCCGTTAAGTAACATGAGGGCATCTCAATAAAAGTACAGCGAGCAAAAGAGATGCGAGTTAAGACATGTACTGCACATGCAAGTTTGAAAAACTAGCAGAGAAATCGTCGCAATATTACAAACATTACCAGTGTATGATATCTACACTCCCGACTTCAACGATAACACGATCGAATCGTAAGATGAATGGAAAAATACAGATAATGTTGCGTAGATAAATGTCAAGGCACCAAGCGACTAAACAGCTGTATGGCTTAAAACATCGCGAAGCATGATTACTAAATAGACCATACAAATCAATGCCCCATTTCAAAAAAGTGCTCTAAAACTGACCGTTAACCACGCACTATCGGTAATATTCCATCGAAAGTAGAAAAAGCGGAGGATAAAACCGAAAGTCAAAAATACCAGCCGACGAATCGCGCTCCTTACAGGCTGATTGGCATCTAAAACATCTGGATAGCTGAAATTACACAAGATAGCGCAGCCGAAATTTTTAGGGGCATAACTTACCATAGTTCCCAGGCGAAGCTTGGAAAAAGTGAAACTTTTAATTCTAGTTAAGATAAAATTTGAACTCCATTACATCTACTTGACTTCGTAAAAAACGCAAAAAAAGAAAAAAAACTTTATTTGACATGCAGTTGTTGCCCTGATTTATATGAATTCAAGGCATAAGAGCATTAAAAAATCCACATATTGCTGCTGCCTTGGTTGCCAGAATGGTTTAGAGTCACTTGGGTGGTCATGTCGGCAGAGTATTTATCGCTCCTCACTGTAAATATCCAAGATTTAGGTTTTCAAGAAATTGTCAAGGCGTACATATGTATATCTTAAACCATTTCTACTTGTCTGCTGTGTGACGCGTAAACAAATGTGTGCTAGTGTTTCTTCTACTTAGTAGGCAATTTATGGGATTTTATGGTAAAGGATTGTAAATCCGTTGACTCATAATGAAATGAAACCCTATAGTTATAACTCACACAAATATTGTGGTTGTTGTAATATATTCTAGTTTGTTTAAGTGGACTTTGATATGCGAGAGGCGGGAGGCAATCGGGAACGTGGAGCACGTGCGCGAGGTCGACGAGGAGTATCCCTGCGATTGATATCTACTCACCGCATCTGCATTTTATTCCCCCCATCCTTCTTACAGAAATGCCTAATAAACCGTCTACAACCAACTACTTCTTAAAGTCTGAGAACCAGGGACCAGAGGGTAGACAGGCTGTAACTACACTGGTGGCAGCGCCGGTCGACATCCCTCCCTTCAAAAAATGTACTGATTTCGATGACTGGCTTTTCTTTACAAAGGCCGATCTCGAACTCTACGAGCCTACTCGGCGAGTACCATTGCTACTTCGCGCCTTGCCACAGAGGGAGACTCACCTCGGCTGCATCAGAAGGTCTTCGAAAACACTTTATACCTAAAAGTCGTCAAAAAATATCGGATTTTGCATGCCGCTGCCACCAGTGTAGCGTCTCGAGGCTTCCCATAGGGTGGAAGAAGGCATAAGTGAGGTTGAATATGTGTATTCTGAGGACGACAGGGCAAATGGGCTTGAGTGTTGTCCGAAGGCCAGCCCACGTGTACAGGGGACAAACAAATTCTAAAGTAAATTTCAAATATCCAACAGCCACATAAACAAAACGTTACAGCGGTAACCCAATGCTTCCCACCGGGTAGAAGAAGGCATTAAGTGAAGCATATATTCTAGCGAGAGCAAAGTAATTTAGTTTAACCTTGCCTCGAAGGCCAACTCGCGCGTACAAGTACCAGATAAATGTAACACTAATCGTCAGACATCAAGTGGCCACATCAGCAATGTACTACACTGCTTCTCCCTTCTTTTGAGAGACGTCTTTGATGCTCCTCTCGGTACACTTCCCGTGCCACCTATCACGGCATATTCGATGCTGCAAGAAAGCACCCACCAGCCAGTCAACGGCTAATATGAGTCTGACGAACGACACGTGATCTCCTCATCGTCTTCAAATGGACTTGGAGTTACGTCCAGTCTGACAGACAGAATCGGGACCATTAACTGCCTCCAGGACTATGAGGTGGAACTATAGCCTAAAGCAAATGAGTTATGGAGACAACGCGATCAGACAGTCCCATGTGTAAGGAGACTCGTAGTGCCATTTCCAGCACCTATATGCGGATGTAGTAGAATAAATTTAGATGTGAAACTTTTCCAGATAGTTCACGGCAGTCTCCCTTCAGGCAGTAAGTGGAGCTGAATAAATGTATTTCAAGGAGAGCAAGTGGATTAAGCCTGAGTTTAGTCCGAAGGCCAGCCCAGGCATACAACGATCAGATAAATCTTAAAGTATACGCCAGACACCGGATAGCCACATATGCAATCTATTGTACGTATGATGACCTAAGAACAATACCGATTTTTTAAGTTTTCAATCGAAGTCAAATCTGGACCAGAACTCCATGCATTCTGATATTATTAACTCCTGGACTGCAGAATTCATTCCAGCTTGTAACATTTCAACCCTTTTCGAATGCGGCATAAATGGACAAATAAAACATCTAGAAGTTTTGCGCGAATTGTATTAGGTATGTAACGATGTCACAATGGTTTTAGTGGCATCGGAGCCACTCTTGCTTGATTCCACATAAAGAGCTCTTTAAGGGATTGTCCGCCCTTGAGGACCTTATTTGGCATAATCGAAGATGCAAAAAAACTAGCATTTATTGCACCTTTAAGCGCAAGGTGCAATAAATATTAGTTCTTGAAATAGGGCTTAGTGACGTAGAGGCGAGAGTCAATTGGAACTGTGCGCCTGTAGAGACTGAAGTCTGTTCTCATGGCTGGAATAAATAGTTCTCTAACCGTGCCCGGAACCCGGTCTACTCTACACGTTTTCTGAGAAGCTCGATAAATCATCATGGAGCAACCTCTCACATGAAAACTAAGATGAAGATACTGTAGAGCAGAACGAGAGATAACCCACAAGGGATAAAATGAAGAAAGGATGCGAGGAGTATAAACTTTACTAGTGAACCTAATCAGAGACCTCGTACAGCCTCACGCTATGATTGAACAAAAGCCTCTGATCTACAACATACATACATTCATTACGACATTAATGATTTTGGTCGAAAGGTCAGCCCGTACAAGAGTAGGACAAAGTAAGCGCCACACATACAGGTGGTTACCTAAGCACTGCACTACATTGTTCCTCTAGTCTTCTGAGCTACCCTCTCGGCTCTCCCCTCGGTGCACCTCCCGTGTCAGTCGTCACAACATATTCGGTAGTAAAAGGGGGCACTCACGTGCCACCTACGCTAGCCATCGGCCAACATGAGGCTGAGGGGCTGCACTCAATCCTCCCGACGACTTCGACCGCCTCTGGAGTGACATGTGGTCCGAGAGCAAGAATCGTAGAGAGGCACTTGCGTTGACCATCAATCGTGTCCATGACTAATGCTGGTGCACTGGTCTGAAAGAGATGGTCAACGGGGAAAACGGGATCAAACACAGTCACGCATGGAAGGGCATTCGGTGTGATGTCATCTCCGACACCTACGTGTGGATGTGGTAAGGGGAAATGCGGTGTGAAGCCTTCCCAGATGGCTCGCGGTAGCGTCGCTTCAGTTGCCAATAGCCTGCCTGGGGAACACGGCGATGGGGTAGAGCCAAACGCAGAACTCATTATCAATTCTTCTATTCTAAAGAATTCAGAGGGTCACCGGCCCGGCGTGTATGTGCTTCATAGCACTGCGGATATAGCACAAACAGTGTGCACTAGGACAGAAGTCGCAAAGGAAAGAATGGGCTAGGTTTCCACTGCCACCAGTATAGTGCCTCGAGACTACGCTTTTAGTAGGAGAAGGCATTGAGTTAGGCTAAATACATGTACTCTGGGAGGAGGAGGAGAAGAAGAAGAAGAAGAAGAAGGGATTAGACTGTGAATTGGTCTAAAGAATGGCTCCCGTGGACAGGAGCAAGACAAACATCAAAGCGGCGACCAACCCTACAGGTGCTCACCTATGTAATACTTTGGTTATGTGACCACATAACGTCTGGCGGTCGCGTTAGGATTTGTGCGGCCCGTGTACACGTGGGTAGGCTTTCGGACCATGCTGAGGTCCATTTGACCTATCTTCTTTAGAATTCATCTATCCAGCTTCACTTAATGAGTTCTTATACAAGCTAGAAAGTCTCGGGACGCTACACTGGTGGCAGCGGAAA